GACTGGATATTATTTTTCATCCGCGAATTGAGAGTGTGCCAACAGTCGGACAGACAGACAGACAGACAGACAGACAGACAGGCAGACAGACAGACGGTCAGACAGACAGACGGTCAGACAGACAGACAGACAGACAGACAGACCAGACGGGCGGGCCCCGCGCCGCCATCGACCTTTGTAGGCGCGGGCATATCGCCAGGCGGGACTCCGGGGCTCCCCCCTTTGTGCATTTAAATTGATTAATCCTTGTTTTCCAATTGAGTCTTTGAGCGCGGCCCCGCGCCGTTCTTCCGAGCCAGCCTCCCCACCGCGGCGTGGCTGCGTGGCGCCACCCAAAGGGACAAATAATTTAATCCCGACCGAAGGGGAGGTGGAGGGCGGGGCGGGGCGGTGTGAGGGAATGGGGCCCTCTGGGGCGGTGCCCCTCCCACCTCCGCGGGCTGGCTGCTGCTGCTTCAAAAAGGGACGGGGAGGAACAGAAAAAACACCAGCGTAAACCCCTGTCTCCGTCTCTCTCTCTCTCTCTCTCTCTCTCTCTCTCTCTCTCTCTCTCTCTCTCTCTCTCTCTCTCTCTCTCGGCAGGGTGGGGTGAACACGCCGGTGATACAGTCGGCGTGCGTGTTCCCCGCGCCTTTTCCACTAGTTTTCCACACGCGGAAAAGCGCCAGCGACGCTTTGTTGTGAAACCAGCAGCAGCCCCTCTTGGCGGCGCCTACTTAAATCCACAATCATCAAACCCCCTCGCCAGCGCGCTTCACTTGAGATAAATTAAACCGCAAAGCGCGTCTTCTTTTCATCGCGCGGGGACGCGTGGCGCCGCACAGAAGGTGTTGTCGGTACACATGTTACATCGCCACTTGAGGGAAATTAGAAGGCAGTTGCTTGCGGTCCCAGGGGACCGACCGACGGGCAAGTCGCGGAGTACGGACCGCCCCTGCATCCCCTGAGAGAGGGAGATGGCTGGCGCACTGGACCGCCACCCCCTCCCCTCCCGGGGGCTTCTTAAATTGATTGTTTGCCGTGCCTCTCCCCCCGGACACTCTTTGCTGCCCGATGTGTGGTGTGGGGGAATCGGTGGCGGTCGAATAGCCGATGATGTGTCCCTCAATTCACTTACCGTTCCGCCGTCGACCGGACGTCGTCTATGTCCGGCCGTCTCCGCCGCCAGGTCCGGTCGGCTCAGGGTGGATTCGAGGTGCGTCGTCAAGGGAGTGCCTTGGAATCCAGCAGCAACTGAGTCTTTCTCGCCCACCTGTAACGAAAACCGAAGCAGAGGTTCGCGCTGGTCACATTTTTCATCACTTTCGTGCACGTTATCATCATGGCGCCACCACAGTCGTCGTCATCGTCATCATCATCGTCATCATCATCATCATCATCGTCCAACATCCATATCATCATCATCATCATCATCATCATCATCATCATCATCATCATCATCATCATCCAACATCCATCATCATCCAACATCCATCATCATGTCATCATCACCCTAATCATCGTAACCACCATCGACCATCATCATCGCTGTTAGGCCTCAACAGGTTTCATTTTCACCACGCCAAACTTTTTTTTAAACAGACCGCATGATAATGAGTGGACACGCCAAACAATCAATTTCGTTTCGTTTTCGTTTGTTGGCTTGAAACTGTCACCGCCGCACGGCCAACACGTTTGTGTACGATGAGGGCCCCCAAAGTGGAGGTTTCGAGTTTAGCACCCATTACCCCAGTCCCGCCCCCCTTTCCCCCAGCCTCCTTTCTCTCTCTCTCTCTCTCTCTCTCTCTCTCTCTCTCTCTCTCTCTCTCTCTCTCTCTCTCTCTCTCTCTCTCTCTCTCCCAGCCACACCCACACCAACGCAGTCTCCGCGCACTCGGAGTAATCCGCCCTCTCGTGTTGTGGATTGAAACGTTTTTGCGTTAATCGAGCGTTAAGTTGTAATCAGATGCCAGTGTGTTGCCCCTCCGCCGCCCCTCCCTGCCGCCCCTTTCCCCCCGAAAGTCCCAAGGGGGTTGCCTGCCTGCCGCGGAGGGACGCGAAGGGGTTCCGGTCATCAATGCCCTGTTAACTGCAACAGTGCAATTCCCTGGAGGGGTCACACGTTCGGGTTCGAGTCCTGTTTAGCACCTCTGGAGCTCAAAACGCGTCTAGAATTTGGACCGCCTCCGCCGGTCTTCTGGCCCACCACTGTGTGCGGCTAGGGGGTAGTGTCGCGAGGCGATCGAACAACAACAACTACTACTACTACTACTACTACTACTACTACTACTACTACTACTACTACTACTACTACTACTACTACTACTACTAACAGTAACAGTAACAAACAACAGCAATAAACAGCAACAGCAACAACAACAACAAAGGACAGCAATAAGAACAACAAAGACAACAAAAACAATGACAACTTCCAGATGCACTGAAACTATTCAATATGGACAGAACCCTCGTCTCGGGAATCTCCAACGCGTTCGTTGTTCAGAAATGACACGAATTATAGGGTGTACTTAGAGCCTTCCCCCGGAAAAAAGCATCCAAGTAGGAACATTAGAATCTACGAATTTTCGGAAGCTGCAGAGGTTAGAGCTATTTTTTTTTTCCCAGAATTTCTTCGGATTTTTTGTTTGCAGTGCAATTCCCTGGAGGGGTCACACGTTCGGGTTCGAGTCCTGTTTAGCACCTCTGGAGCTCAAAACGCGTCTAGAATTTGGACCGCCTCCGCCGGTCTTCTGGCCCACCACTGTGTGCGGCTAGGGGGTAGTTCGCGGCCCGCACGACTCTGCGAGGCACTGCCCCGCGGGGGAGGGTACTACACTATTTTGTTGCCGCGCGCCGCGACCGACCGGGGTCGTAAAAAGCTGACATTGTGCAGAGCGAGGCCCCAGCGAGGCCCCAACGAGGCGCGCTGTGGTCTCGACACCGGATCCTTCGGGACGTCGCAAACTTTTCCTCGGCCGATGTTTCACACGAGTTTACAGCCAAGCGGCAGCGCAGCATAGCGGGTCTGCAGCCGACTGATTCCGAAAGTCGGTTCCGACGCTGTGTGTCCCTCACTGTGGCAAAAAGGTACGGAAAATCCTGTTAATTTTTTTGCCAGGATTCTCCGTAGCCCTCTTATCAATATTCTCCGTAGGCTCTTACAGTATTCTCCGTAGGGCCGCACAGTATTCTCTGTAAATCCGCACAGTCTTCTCCGTAGGACCTCGGAGACTGTATAGTCCTACGGAGATCACTGTGCGGTCCTACGGAGAATACTGTGCGGTCCTACAGAAAATACTGTAAGAGCCTACGGAGAATATTGATAAGGGGCCTACGGAGAATTACCACAAGCTGTTTACAGAATTTTCCGTAGCTTTTTGCCACAGTGCTCCTTCGCACCTCCTCGCACAACTGCGAGAGAGACAGAGCGACGACTCTCGGAATCAGTCTGCAGGGCAGGGCGGTCCGCGGGGCCTACCCCTCCTCCTCCTCGGCCTGGAGGATGTCCTCCAGCAGCAGACTGCCCCGGGGCGGCGCTGCAGACTGAGACTCGTCGCTCTGTCTCTCTCGCACTCACCCGGCGTCCCGTATGCGTGCGAGAGAGACAGAGCGACGACTCTGCTGCACGACGACGCGCCGGAGAGTGGAATAAGAGACGACTGCCCGAGGGGCGGCCGCGTAAACGAGAGTGTTCAAACTCGGAACAAAAGGCGTTTTTACGGGCGGCCCGCGCCGGGAGGGGGAAAAGGGGGAAGAAGGGGGTAAGGGGGAGGGAAGAGGAGGGGGAACACGGGCATAACCGGAAATTCGCGTTACAACGAGGATGAATGCGGGATCCCGGCGGCCTGGGCCGAGGCCGGGGGGCGGCGGCTGGAGTAGAGTGACATTGGCGGGATGACGGGGGGAGGGAGGGGGAGGGGAACTCGAGGGGGTTGCAATCATAAGCCCCCCTGACAGGCAGGCAGGTTGTGTGTCGTGGGGCGGAACGGCGCGGAGCAGCGCGCCCTTGACGGGGCGTCCTCATTCCACGTAACGCCCTTTTTCCCGTGTGGCTCCTCCGCTCTCCTGTCGTCCGTCCAAGACACTTTTCCCACAATGTTCTAAAAAGACTTAGAATAGGGATCCAGCATGCTATGGTGCTGGAGGATTCGTAATTCCTTTTGCTGTATCCATTTTTCGTACATTTTCCGAACCAAAATAACGGAATCTTTCGCAGTGTCTTCGGGAGTCTGGCAAGCTGTAAGTCAGGCCAGGGGGGCCCCTTGCTCCGCTCTGGCCCTGCTTGCCGCGGCGCGCGGCTCGCCTTCTGTTGGATTGCGTTAGCTACTGATGAGGACCGCCGAGCACATATGTACATACGACTTAGTTATGTCGTCCCCGGTCCCGACAAAAGGGGTAGGGGGCCGCCGGGCCCAGGGGGGGGGGGGGAGGGGGAGGCGACACCACTGCCGACTGCCGGCTTATCGGGGGATCGGCCCAAATTGGATTCGGATTACGAGAGCGTATGACTGGGGCCGGATGGGGAGGGGGAGGGGGGGAGGCCCCAAGTGCCCGGATGAGCTCCGGGCCCCTCGGCGAGCCCCGCGGCCCCGCAGCTCCGGCGGCTCCGGAAGGATGGGGTGGGGCGTCTTGCCAACTGGGCCTGCACTCTCATCAGCGCGGACCAGACTCACGGCTGCAGCTGCTGCCACACTTAGCACCGGCATTACGCTCTTCTCTTGAAGCTTAATGTTAGCTTAGTTTCACCAGTGTAGGTGACGCTGCATTCGAGACGCGTTTTGAGCTCCAGAGTTAGTTGGACTCGAACCGAACGTGTGACCCCACCAATGGATTGCTCTCGGAACGAGGAATCCATTGGTGGGGTCAGACGCTAGGTTCCTGTCCTGTTGAGCAACTCTGAAGCTCAAAACGCGTCTAGGGTTTTGGCCGCCTCCACCGGTCTTCTGGCCCACTGTGCACCACCTTCACGCCAAGACGTCCAGAATGCATAATTCTAACGCGGGTTTCTTTTCCGATTGCAGGTTTAAGTCACCTCGACGGCAACAACAAGGAGTACGCCGCCGAGAACCTCAGCGGCTACGGCAATGGCGGCGCGGGCGGCAAGACGAAGAAGAAGAAGCGGCGGCATAGGTAAGCCAAGCAAACGAATTTTCCAACATTTTCCTCGGTTTTCCGTCAAGTTCCGTCAAGTTTTCGAGCTCCGACCCCACGGATGGTTGCGTCAGTGACCAGCAAACTGACATCGAGCCATTTTCGCCCCATGAGTGCGAGAAACACCCAAAAAAATGGTTCCTTGATTTTTGATTTTCTTGATTTTTTTGTAAGAAAAATAATCTTGACACAAGACAAATTTTCTTTATTCAAGAAAAACAATTGGATTAAGATAAATTTTCTTGCAAAAACCAAGAAAAGTTAAATTTTTCTTGATCCAAGAAGTCATTTTTTTTGGGTGAAGACAGAGCGACGGAAAACGACTTTAGGAATCACCCTGCGCTTCTCTAGGCGCTGCCCTAATCGGGTGCCTCATCCTGGCTTGCTTCTCCTGTCTTGCAGTCGGACCATCTTCACCAGCTTCCAGCTGGAGGAGCTGGAGAAGGCCTTCAAGGAGGCGCACTACCCCGACGTCTACGCGCGAGAGCTGCTCTCGCTCAAGACGGACCTCCCCGAGGATAGGATACAGGTGAGTCCAACAGTCCCGTCTCAGCGAGGACGGGCCCAAGGATAGGTTCAGGGGACGATGGATTAGTGGGCCAATGGCCGCGGCCGAAACTCTAGACGCGTTTTGAGCTCTACGGTCACTAAACAGCTCTCGAACCGAACGTATAGGACTCCACCAACGGACTCCTCATTCGGAGAGCAATCCATTGGCGGGGTCACAGGTTCGATTCGAGTCTCATTTAGTGACTCTGGAGCTCAAAACGGGTCCGGGATTTTCACCGCCTCCACCTCCACCGGTGTTTTGGCTCAAGTTCGCTGCAGCAAAAGTGGCCTACAGAAAGAGAGAGCGACTTTAAGGCTACTTGGCAGCCACCTACAGTGGGGGACGCTGCTCCTGTCCCCCCTCCCCTTTTCCCCTGGATCCGCGCCTGTGTTCGAAACGACACGCGTTTTCCCACGAGCGGAGCTGGGAGGAGCAGAGCGAAAAACACCGCCAACAAAAAAGGCTTCCATGTTGGCGGCGGCGTCGCGGGGGTGAGGCCCACATCGTGGCAACGCCGCATAGTGGGGCGCCGCGGGGCGCCGTGCGTGGCGGGGCGGGGCGGGGCGGGGCGTGGTGGGGCGGGGCGTGGTGGGGCGGGGCGGGGCGGAGTGGAGTGTCGGCGTGGGGAGTGCGGCCGACGTCTGTTCGGAGCTCTAGCTCTAGCGGTGGAGTGATTGGCTCGCGTGTGTGCTTTCTCCACCGGCCCCTTTTTTCTCGCGTCCCACCGCGGCAGCTTTCTACAGAAAGCCTCGCTCCGAATGCCTAGGCCGCCTAGGCACTACTGCAGTGTAGTGGGGGCGACGCTAGACCACCACGGCCCCGCCTCGCCCCGCTTCCACTTTCTCGATTTCTGCGGGAAGCGAAACTGTCGACGCCATCTCTCTCTCTCTCTCTCTCTCTCTCTCTCTCTCTCTCTCTCTCTCTCTCTCTCTCTCTCTCTCTCTCTCTCTCTCACTCCTGCTACACCCACGCACATATGGCCCAAATGCGTACATATACAGTATGTATAAGTCTACAGACTGTGAAGAAAAGGGTTTTTCGTGCCTTTTTCGAAGGGTTTTTAATTTCGGAGTGATTATAGACACGCCGCGTTTCTATAAGAAAAAAGACAGTTATATGCACACCGGAAAACCGCTGGTGTGTATATAATAATAAATGGCGTTATTTTCACGCGGCGTGTCTGCAATGTCTAGTTTTCTTATTAGCACGCCGGAAAAGCTTTTCCGGCGTATCAATAATAATTTGTAGCTTTATGTTGACGCGGCGTGTCCCTAATGGTGTATTTTCTTATTGACACGCTTCAAACTCGTTTCGGCGTGCCTTTAATATTTTTCCAAGTTAGGTGCACGCGGCGTATCTCCAATGCTGTGTTTGCTTATTTAAACACCGAATGGAAAAATGTGTTTCTAGCGAGGAACCCGTCCCGCCAGGCTGGCATGGTGGGTTGGTGGTACCGCACCCGCATGCTAAGTTTTTGTCCCCGGTTCGAATCCCGCAGAGTGCGGCGTGCAAATAATATTTTCCCCCTTTGTTTGCACGCCGTGTGCGAATAATAAATCCAGCAGTTAAAGACACGCGGTGTGAACGCAACGGTACAATTTCTTATAGAGACGCCTCAAACTCTTTCTGGCGTGTACATAATACTTTTAGCCCCAATTTCCACGCGGCGTGTCTATAAGGCACTAAATCGTTGTTTACACGCTTGGTCTGTACAAAGTGCTCCAAACTTGCAACCCGACCGGCCAGGAAGGCGTCGTGGGCCGGTGGCACCGCACCTACATGCTAAGTTTTTGTCCCCGGTTCGAATCCCGTCAAATGCGGCGTGCAAATAATGTTTTCTCCCTTTGTTTGCACGCCGTGTGAGAATAATAAATTTAGCAGTTAGAAACACGCGGCGTGGACGCAACATAAGGTTTTCTTATTTACACGCTTCGAAATACGCGCTTAGTCCTCAAGCACGGCGAACAGAGCTCTGAGATTGCTGCTGTCTGTTAGGACCACGACGGTGTCATCCACGAGGAAACACTTAGGTGGTAGGCACCCTCCCCTTGAGGACTTAGCGCGTGTTTCGAAGCGTGTAAATAAGAAAACCTTATGTTGCGTCCACGCCGCGTGTTTCTAACTGCTAAATTTATTATTCTCACACGGCGTGCAAACAAAGGGAGAAAACATTATTTGCACGCCGCATTTGACGGGATTCGAACCGGGGACAAAAACTTAGCATGTAGGTGCGGTGCCACCGGCCCACGACGCCTTCCTGGCCGGTCGGGTTGCAAGTTTGGAGCACTTTGTACAGACCAAGCGTGTAAACAACGATTTAGTGCCTTATAGACACGCCGCGTGGAAATTGGGGCTAAAAGTATTATGTACACGCCAGAAAGAGTTTGAGGCGTCTCTATAAGAAATTGTACCGTTGCGTTCACACCGCGTGTCTTTAACTGCTGGATTTATTATTCGCACACGGCGTGCAAACAAAGGGGGAAAATATTATTTGCACGCCGCACTCTGCGGGATTCGAACCGGGGACAAAAACTTAGCATGCGGGTGCGGTACCACCAACCCACCATGCCAGCCTGGCGGGACGGGTTCCTCGCTAGAAACACTTTTCCATTCGGTGTTTAAATAAGCAAACACAGCATTGGAGATACGCCGTGTGCACCTAACTTGGAAAAATATTAAAGGCACGCCGAAACGAGTTTGAAGCGTGTCAATAAGAAAATACACCATTAGGGACACGCCGCGTCAACATAAAGCTACAAATTATTATTGATACGCCGGAAAAAAACCGGAAAAGCCGGTCCGATCGGGCCAGAACGCTTTTCCGGCGTGTCAATAATTTTTTTTTCAGTTAGAGCTACGCGGCGTGTCCCTTACCCGCGTAATTATTATGTACACGCCGCGTCTCAATAACATAAAGCGGCATTGGGGACACGCGGCGTGTATATAATATCGGTCTTTTAATTTTTCCTCTTCCCAGCTCGCCTTTTTCTGCCGACGCATCGTTAAGGCAATTTTCCTTGCGTCTAGGTCTCCTTCTCTACCTTCGCTCGAATTACCCCTTTGTCCGGTACATTTTTTCCTCGAGCCCTCGCATTGCGACAAAGCCGACGGCACTACTGCTTTTTCAGTCACTAGTTCTGAAGTCACGCCGCCCGCGGCGCTAGTGTCGCCCCTAGCCAGCCGGGGCGCAGGCTCCCAGGCGTGTAAGCTGCCGGCACGCCCTCCCACCGCACAGCCCTTCACCTCCACAAGCAGAGCCCCCCCTTTCCCACTAATTCAAGCTGCCGCCGTCGCCAAGGCCTATTGTACGAGCCTCGAGTGCTGTTCGGGTAATTTTCCCTCATGCCTTTATGCATTACTCTTTGTCGCAAAACGCGCTGGCATATCGTTAGGCCCTTCTCTCTGTCTTACCGTCGGTCGATGTACACCCTTTCCCTCCGAGTCTCTTTCGTCCTTTTTTGGCGGCAAAAGATAAATAAAAAGTGTTCCCTTTTTTCCCTCGCCGGGTGCATTTCGCATCCACGTGCTACGCCCAAAAGGGGGCCCTTCGAAGCTTGTTTGACGCTTTGGTCCGCTATTTTGGGGGAAAAGGATGGCACTGTGGGACATTGTTGTTGTTGCTGTTGCTGCTGCTCTTGCTCTTGTTTGTGTGCCTTTCCCGAGAGGACTGCAGTGGAAGTGTGCAAAGCACAGTGCGCTTGGCAAAAACAAAAGCAACAACAAAAACCTTCTTTATTTTTCTCGCACTGCCGAAAGTGAGCCGCTTACTTTAGAGGAAGGAGCACGAGAGGCCGTGTGGGTGCAGACTTCCACGAAGTTAAAAAAAATAAAAGTCTGTAGTCCCATCGAATTTTTGTGTTGGTTGCGGGTTGGTTGACTCTAACGTTTTTGGGGACCTTAAGATTTTCGTGCTTTTTAATTTACGACAGTCCGAGGTAATTATGATCTACTTTCATTTAAGTCTGAGAGTATTTTACAAATAGTTTTTCAGATTGAAAAATAATTATTTTTTAAGCTACGTTGATGACGAAACTTTGCCCGCAATCATTGTATGTATTCAAAACTGAAGTGACCCCACCAATAAATAGCTCTTCGAACGAGGAGACACTTGGTGAGGTCACACGTTCGATTCGACTCCTGCTTAGCGACTCTGGAGCTCAAAACGCGTCCGGGATTTTGACCACCTCCACCGGTCTTCTGGCCCACTGCTGTGCCTCGCCCCTTCGCTTGCCGCCGCCTTGCCGCTCGCGGCCCTGCTGCCGCGCCGCCCCACCCACAGCCGCGCGGCGAGAGCGAGAGAGAGGCCCTTCCCCGCCCAATGAGGGGCCTGCGCGCGCACGCCGCGCCGCGACGCGCAGCCAATCAGGCGCATGCGCAGTCCCCCTCGGACGACGCGCCGCGCGCCCTTCTCTGCAGACTGATTCCGAGAGTCGTTTTCGTCGCTCTGCCTCTCTCGCACCAATACGGTGCTCCCAAGGAGTGCGAGAAAGGCGGAGCGACGACAATGAATCCCGGACCAGTCCCTCTCCCTGTTCCGAGCTCGTCGTGTACTTCTCGCGTATACGTGCATGGTGAGCCGCTGGCTGGGCTCTGAGTGGCCCGCACCAATTCCTTACCGTTTCATTTGCCACACTTTTCACAGACAAAAGGTGTATAGGTTAAAAGTTGTTATGAACTGATCAGGTTCACAGCACAAAAATGAACTTATGAAAAGGGAAGATGGAACACACTAATCTAAAACGAAGTTTGTTTCCAATGTTGCGAGCATGTGCACGGTAAAAACGGAACCTGTTTTTTTCGGGAAGCCAATGGTGAAGGCATAGGTGGTTTCCATGGAGTTCCTGGGAAAACCAGGAACCGTTTTTACCGTGTGCAGAAAAATGAAAATTCTGTGCCAAACTTAATTTGACAAAACTGTAACTAATTACAATTTTGTCAACAAGTGTAATGAATTGCTTCCAGGTGGTACGTAGCAAAAA